CCCCCCCCCTCCTCCACGCATTCCACAAGGAGCGCATCGTGACGCAATCAAGGAGCAATCGAATGGACGGACGATCATGCATGCCTTCATCGTCTATGTCTAGGTTTCTTGCTCTTCGCTTTAAAGTATCCCCTGCCTCCCGAAGCGTTCCTCTCTTGTTGCTGATGTGCACAGGGTTGGTGCGGTAGCGGCAGCGCCAAAGTAAGCTCAAATGTCTTCCTCACCCACTGCCAAGCCGCACAGCACAGCACAGCTCACTACTCACCTCGTTGAACTTGCGCTTGGCATAAGCCGCAGCTTCTGAATCTTTCACGACCTCTTCCAGTGCCGAGGTGCCCGCACTGTACTTTGGCAAGATGGACCCAGGTTCGATCTCGGAGCCCACGATCCTGCCCAACTGCAGCATCACAGGAAGGGGGCCCCCCCCTTCGAGTCAGAATTTCTTGAACGCACGCCTCTTTTCACGCTTCGCTTTTGCGCTTACAGATGCCCGCTTCTACGCAACCCGCGCTGCCCGCAAAGACTCACCTGCGCATACTTTGGCATGCCCTTCTCCACCTTGCCTCCACCCTTGTAGAACCTCTTTGGATCCAAAGCATTCCTCAATCGGATAGCCTGCACCTCTCTTCGCATCTCTTCCGCCGTGCGTCCCCTAGGATTGGTGGCGTACCTGCTAGCTGCCAAAGTGCTCGCTCCCACGCTGCCCGACTTGGAGTCCGCGCCCGGAAATGCCGGCATGCCGTACCAGCCGGGACCGGCCGTTTGGGCTCGTTTCTGAGAATGAGGGGGGGCATTGGTGAGCCACACAAAAATTCAGTCCGGTGCGAAGGGGTGTTGATGCGACGATGAATGCACAAAAAGAAGCGCAAGGAAGGTGCAAAAGCGTCTGCCTGGCAGCTCACGCATCTTGACGCAACGTCGCGTCGCCCACGCTCCCTCCCTCACTCACAACTTTTGCCTGCCTCTTTTCTGCTCGCGTCTTTTTCCTGCCAGAGTCGTCTGGCACGCTCCTGCCACCGCCCAGCTTGGCCAAGTGCGAGTCAAGCGCATCTTGCTTGGCTTTGCTCTCGTGTCTAGGGTGTGCAAGTCCATGCGAGGGCCGGCCGCGTATGCTATCAGCCGGCGCGCGTACAGTGTGCAGCAGCTTCCTTTCACGAAGCCATAGCCGCGCATACACTCACCTTGTCAGCTTGTCCTGCTGCTGCTGCTCCGCTGCCGACTGGTCCATGGTCTGCGCGCCTCTGTGCGGATGCGTATGCCTATGCCCGTGCCCGTGCCCGTGCAAGCTCAGACTGACCAGATCCTCATCGCCGTCCAAGCCTGCGCCTGCGCTCCGCTTTGAGCCGCTCTTGGCTTGCTCAGCAGCGAGAGCAGCTCGAAACAATCGCTGCATCTCTTCATCTTCGTCCCTGTCATGCTCCTCCGGAGATACG